TCCGTCTAGTCCAGCATCCTGCCTCACACAGTGGCCTCAACCAGTTCCTCTGGAGGGCCAGCAACAGGGCAGAGAGAGGCCGAGGCCTTCCCCTCATAAGAACGTCAGAAGAGCCCTGCTGGATTAGACCAGTGAGGGTCCGTCTAGTCCAGCATCCTGCCTCACACAGTGGCCTCAACCAGTTCCTCTGGAGGGCCAGCAACAGGGCAGAGAGAGGCCGAGGCCTTCCCCTCATAAGAACGTCAGAAGAGCCCTGCTGGGTCAGACCACTGAGGGTCCATCTAGCCTAGCACCCTGTCTCACCCAGTGGCCAGCCAGTTACCTGGGGGAGGGCCCCCAAAAAAACAGGTCACAGAGGCCAAAGCCTTCCCCTGATGCTGCCTGCTGGCTCTGGGTTCCCTTCAGTCGCCATGGTTAGCAGCCCTTCCTCCAAGAATGTAGCTAATCCACTTTTAAAGCTATCTATGCCTGTGGCATGAAGGAACCAGAGAGTGGGAGACAGTCTCTTCCTCCGCCTCTCCTTCTTGCATGCAGAAGTTAGTCTGCAGGCCCGGTCCACGGCATGGTGCCAGAAGTGGGAAATTCAAGAGCTCTCTCCCACCCCACGTATACACAAACCCCGCTGAACACAGGGAACAAGCCAGGGGCAGCTCTCCTGCACCAGCCTTGCTGAAAGGAACAGGTGTGGGACAAGAGCACATCTCCTACCTACGACAGGCCACCTTGCCCCAGTGTCATTGCTGGGCCTTCACAGTCACAGGGCCGGCAGGCTGCATTATAGGCAGAAACAGCTGGACCTGGAACAGAAATCCCACAGACCTGTGCGCTTTTGCTGTGCCCGGTGGGGGAGGGGGCATGGCTCACTGGTAGAGCCTCTGCCTGGCATGCAAAAGGTCCCAGGTTCAATCCCCGGCATCTCCAGTTAAAAAGATCAGGCAGTAGATGTTAAGAAACAGCTCCATGTGAGACCCTGGAGAGCAGCTGCCAGTCTGAGTAGGCAATACTGAGATGGACCAGTGGTGCTGGTTAAGGGGAGGGCCTGTGGCTCGGTTGTAGAGCCTCTGCCTGGCATGCAGAAGGTCCCAGGTTCAATCCCCGGCATCTCCAGTTAAAAAGATCAGGCAGTAGATGTTAAGAAACAGCTCCATGTGAGACCCTGGAGAGCAGCTGCCAGTCTGAGTAGGCAATACTGAGATGGACCAGTGGTGCTGGTTAAGGGGAGGGCCTGTGGCTCGGTGGTAGAGCCTCTGCCTGGCATGCAGGTAAATGATGTGAAAGACCTCCACCTGAAACCCTGGAGAGGGCCTGTGGCTCAGTGGCAGAACGTCTGCCTGGCATGCAGAAGGTCCCAGGTTCAGTCCCTAGCATCTTCAGATGAAAAGAATAGGCCGGAGGTGATGTGGAAGACCTCAGCCTGGGACCCTGGAGAGCTGCTGCCAGTCTGAGCAGACAATACCGACTCTGGTGGACCCAGGGTCCGATTCAGTAAAAGGTGACTTCATGTGCGAACCATGTCCGAGGTCAGCCATTTCGCCCTGGTGATGACAGTTTCCTGGGCTGCAGAATGACCCTGTCCTCCTACATGGACTGACTGTTCCCTCTGACCTGGAAGAACGATGAAGGCTTGAGTCACCGGAGCATTCGCTGCGCACGACCCGTGCCCAGTTCCCAAGTGCGGCTCCTTGGCAGCCTACAGCCCGATTCTGACACATCGATGCGACTCTTCTCCCCCCAACCCCACCGTCCAAACTGCAAGATCCTTCTGTTCCAGCACGAGGGAACGGAGGTTAGCTGGAGGCGGCGGGGCAGATGGCAGGCGCCGCAGCCTGGGGACGCCACCACCAGCCAAACGGAGCGCCGGCCAAGACGGTTCTGCGGCAGAGACGCTTCTCTCCCGCCCACGGCCGGCATCTTGTCTCCCTGCCACCCGTGACTGCGCCAGTGAGTCAGGGCTTTGCCGCTCGAGCCGGCACCTGCGGCAACGCTGCTGGGCTCTGGCTGACAGCCGTTCATGCCCCCACGCTGCTGACGCTCTGCGGGGACGACGGGGGTGTGCGTGCCCCCGCCCCGCCCCATGGTGGACCTCTAATGCCGACCGGCAAAGGGCTGAGAGCTCAGTGGCCTGGGACCACAAGGACGCTCCCCCCCCCAATGCCCAACCATCTGCTGAGCCAACAAGAGACTACTTTATTCTAGGGCTGTGCTGGATCTTCGACCATTTGGGGTTTTCAAAACGAATGCAGAGCTTTTGGAGGAAGAGAAAATATTTCCTACCGAGAGGGGGGGTGTGCCCCAACCTGGATGGCCCAGACTAGCCTGATCTCATCAGATCGTGGAGGCTAAGCAGGGTCGGCCCTGGTTAGTACTTGAATGGGAGACCGCCGAGGAAGTCCGGGTCGCCATGCAGAATCAGGCCATGGCAAACCAACTCTGTTCGTCTTGCCCTGACCCAGACAGCCCAGGCCGGCCCGATCTCGTCAGATCTGGGGAGCTAAGCAGGGTCGGCCTTGGTTAGAAGAAGAGATTAGATTCATACCCTATGGCCCTTCGCTACCCGAAGGAGTCTCAGAGCGGCTGACAATCTCCTTACCCTTCCCCTCCCCACGAGAGACACCCTGTGAGGCAGGTGGGGCTGAGAGAGTTCTGAGAGAACTGCCCTTGAGAGAACAGCTCCGAGAGGACTTGTGACTGATCCAAGGTCACCCAGCTGGCTGCACGTGGGGGGGGGCGTGGGGAATCAAACCAAATTCTCTCAGATTACAGTCCGCGCTCCTAACCACTACGCCCAAACTGGCTCTTAGCACTTGGATGGGGACCATCGAGGAAGTCCAGGGTGTCTACGCGGACGCAGGCAATGGCAAACCACCTCTGCACGTCTCTTGCCTTGAAAAGCCCAGGAAGGGTCGCCATAAGTAAGCTGTGACTTGACGGCACTTCCTGAGCCCGCGTGCGGGGAGGGCGGGGTATAAATGAAATAAAATAAATAAATAAATAAATATCACTAGGGGTGTGTGTCACTTTTGTTTTGCACCCGTCCCTGCCCTTCGTCCCTAGATCTGCTGATCTTTCGGCACCTCGGTCTGGGTTCCCGTCTTTTCTAGACAGTGATCCCAACCAATCAGGGATCATGTCATGAACATAATGCTCAGGGCTGCCAACCTCCAGGTGGTACCTGGAGTTCTCCCACTATGACAGCTGATTTCCAGAGAACCAAGATCGGTCCCCTTGGAGAAAAATGGCTGCTTCGGAGGGCGGACTCTACGGCATTATGCGCGGCTGAGGTCCCTCCCCTCTCCAAACTCTGCCCTTAGAATGTAAAGGCCAACGACGCCTATTTAGAGCAATGCTTCATAAGCGTGCCCTCCCACACCCAGTGATTTTTCAGGAATTAGTGCAAAAGGAAAGTGTGTGCTGTTCAGGCCGCACTGCCTTCAATGGGCTTTATTAGACACCGAAAGGCATGCTTTTCAGAAATAAGAACCATCTAAGCAGTCCCTGATTGGCTATGACGCCCATGGGACCAGCCCAGGAGATGTCCCCCCTTCCTCTAGATCAGTCTTATTTGCCCTCGGGCTAGCTCACACTAACTTGGCTTAGAGGGAACACCGAGCTGCTTGCTCTTTCGTTTTGCAGCTGCCTTGCTTTAAAGAAGAAAAGAAGAAGAGGAGATTGGATTTATACCCCACCCTTCACTACCCAAAGGTGTCTCAGAGTGGCTTACAAACTCCTCTCCCTTCCCCCTCCCCACAACAGACACCCTGTGAGGTAGGCGGGGCTCAGAGAGCTCTGACAGAAACTGCTCTTTTTCAAGGACAGTTCTTGTCAGAACTATGGCTTGCCCAAGGTCATCCAGCAGCTGCAAGTGGAGGAGTGGGGAATCAAACCCGGTTCTCCCAGATTAGAGTCCACGCACTTAACCGCTATACCAAACTGGCTCTGTACTGCACGCGGCTGAGAACCCGGTTCTCCCAGATTAGAGTCCACTATACCAAACTGGCTCTCACACCAAACCACCATTCAAATCCAATCTCTTCTTCTTCTCCACTGCCCAAAGGTGTCTCAGAGCGGCTTACAAACTCCTTTCCCTTCCCCTCCCCACAGCAGACACCCTGTGAGGCAGGTGGGGCTGAGAGAGCTCTGACAGAGACTGCTCTTTTTCAAGAACAGCTCTTATCAGAACTACGGCTTGCCCAAGGCCATCCAGCCAGGTGCAAGTGGAGGAGTAGGGAATCAAACCCGGTTCTCCCAGATTAGAGTCTGCGCACTTAACCGCTACACCAAACTGGCTCTGTACTGCACGCGGCTGAGAACGTCGCAAATGCCGCCTGGAAGTATTTTAAACAGACAGACAATAAAACCTGTACCCCGAAAAGCTTGTCGCTCAGGTGCTCTGCTGGACTTGAATTCAGCTGTCCTGCTGCAGACCAACGTGGGTACCCTCTGAGATGATCAGCCCGTTCCGCCGCTGTGTTTGACCTTCCATCTGGCCCACTGCTGAGACTGCTCTGGGGAGGGGGTTGCCTTGGACCAACACCCGCACCCCGGGAGCAGAATGCTGGGTTCGTGACGCCCACCCCTTTTTGTGGACTGAACGGCTGCCCTGCCCCACGGACGTGCCCGAAGTCTGCGTCCGAGTGGCTTTGGGACACCCACCCTCACTTATTTTTGTCTGGTCTCCAAGGCTCAAGGGTTAAGCTGGGAAAAGGCCTAGAGATTTAGGTTAACTGGATGATGAGCTGCACCTTATGGCATTATGTCCTGCTGAGGCTCCTCCCCTCTCCAAACTCCGCCCTCCCCAGGATCCACCCCTAAAACCCAATCCAGAGCTGGCGATGCTAATGACTCTTGAAAGCTCGTACCCTGAATTTCTTGTGGGTTCCTCAGGTGCTACTGAGGCTGGGATTTGTTTTGCATTTCGCCCCACGCGAGAGGGAGGAGGGGCCCTGCCCCACGACGGGCACCTTTCCTTCCCGGGTTAACAAAAAAACCCGGCCCCTTACCTCCTCTTTGCACTCATGTCCACCGGCTCGTCATTGATGTTCTCCTTCCCCGGCCTGCCCGAAGTCCGGCTGTCCGCGTGGGGCCGCAGGTTCCCGTTCAGCTTCTCCTCGTAGACTTTCAGGCCGTCCTGTTTGACGGGCAGCTCGTGGGGCACCTCGATGCCCGCCAGGTCCTTCCGCTTGAGCAGCGCCAGCATCTTGAGGCGCTCCATGGCCTCGTGCCCTTCCATCTTCAGCCGCTTGGCCAGGACGTCATCCCGCTCGTCGGCTTGGTCCAGGCTCCGCTTCAAGAGGTTCAGGCGCAGGGCGTCCTCCGTCATTCGGTCCATCCTGGAGGGGGGAGCAAGGAGAGCGGGGTCAGTGCAAGGGAGGATATGGCCTGTGGCAAGGAGCTCTCACTTTTGTCAGGGTGTCTCGGGGGCCAGTTGCCCCACATATCAGAGGAAGGAGAGGGCGGGAATGGAAAGGCGGCTCAGACCATAAGAACATAAGCGAAGCCAATGTTGGATCAGGCCAATGGCCCATCCAGTCGAACATTCTGTCACACAGTGGCCAAAAATACCAGGTGCCATCAGGAGGTCCACCCGTGGGGCCAGGACACTAGAAGCCCTCCCACTGTTAACCCCCCCCCCCAAGCACCAAGAAGACAGAGCAATCCCTTGCCCCAGACTGAGCATTCCTATCTATACCTTGTGGCTAATGGCCACTAATAGAGTTCTGTTCCATATAAGAACATAAGAGAAGCCAATGTTGGATCAGGCCAATGGCCCATCCAGTCGAACATTCTGTCACACAGTGGCCAAAAATACCAGGTGCCATCAGGAGGTCCACCCGTGGGGCCAGGACACTAGATGCCCTCCCACTGTTGCCCCCTCCCCCCAAGCACCAAGAATACAGAGCATCCCTTGCCCCAGACTGAGAGTTCCTACCTAGACCTTGTGGCTAATAGCCACTGATGGGCCTCTGCTCCATATAAGAACGTAAGAGAAGCCATTGGATCAGGCCAACGGCCTATCCGGTCCAATACTCTGTGTTACACAGTGGCCAAAAATACCAGGTGCCACCAGGAGGTCCACCAGTGGGGCCAGGACACTAGAAGCCCTCCCACTGTTGCCCCCCCCAAGCACCAAGAATACAGAGCATCCCTTGCCCCAGATTGAGAGTTCCTACCTAGACCTTGTGGCTAATAGCCACTGATGGGCCTCTGCTCCATATAAGAACATAAGAGAAGCCAATGTTGGATCAGGCCAACGGCCAATCTGGTCCAATACTCTGTGTCACAGAGTGGCCAAAAATACCAGGTGCCATCAGGAGGTCCACCAGTGGGGCCAGGACACTAGAAGTCCTCCTATTCTTGCCCCCCCCCCCAAGCACCAAGAATACAGAGCATCCCTTGCCCCAGACTGAGAGTTCCTACCTAGACCTTGTGGCTCATAGCCACTGATCGGCTTCTGCTCCATTATGTTTATCCTCCCAATGGCACCTGTTGTTTTTGGTCCCTGTGTGACACAGAGTGTTGGACTGGATGGGCATTGGCCTGATCCAGTATTGGCTTCTCTTATGTTCTTATGATATAAATACAATAAAATAAAAATCTCTTTGGTCCTTTGCTCCCGTGCCTCCGATTGTATTAGTTTCCTAGCCTCCACCACCACCCCCGGTAGATCGAGGCAGTTCATAAACGCACCGAAAGCCGCCTTGAAAACATCCTCCAAAGTTACTCGCCAGCGTGACTGCTTGCCCACACAGGTCTAATGTGCACCAGTTGGGATTGTATAGAAATATTGATTTCTAAAAACCTCATGCCTTCCCTGTTCTGTCTTTTGATAACAGGCTGTGCCTATTTCCTGTTACAAGCCAAATGGTAGGCCCCATGGCCTCAATTGCCATGCCATAAACCCACATTCTTCACACTTCCATGCTAGATGCTAGACTGTAAGGCCTCACTAGGCCGTGTAGTCACATAGCCGATGGAGAAGCTAGAGGCTGGGTCACCTGACCGCAGGCGTGGTCCCCAAACTTCTAGCCAATCCCCACATGTAGCCATAACAACCAAATCTTGGGCACTCCCATTCCCACTCGCATTTGGCTCCTGGCCAGGGCTAATTTGTGACTGGAATTGACCTATAACTGGTCATTCCCTATGGGAGAGACTCTCTCTCTGTTCTGTTCCTGCTTTCTGCTTATTTATTGCCCCTGGAAATGCTGTCTCGAGAGACAAAGAACTGTGTTGTGACTGAAGGAGCACATGGTGTGCCAAGATGGGATTTCTCCTCAAGATCCCTTGGTGTCTAATTGGACTATTTGGACTGATGCTATCCTGACTGGGTAAATATGAACCCTTACTGTGTAGTTAAGGCAAACAGCCCTAGCCTTTCTTGTTTTGAAATCTTTTATAGTTTATATGGTCAGCTCTGTACTGAATAAAAAATTATTCTTATTTCTAAATGGTCTCTGATGTTGTACCTGAGTTTCAAGCTTAAATCTTGTAGGCTAAGGCTGACCCCATATGCTACTATTGGAGGTTAAAATATTGTGCATCTCTGGGAAGAGTTGCTAATGTCTTAAGTCCCAGATGCCAGCTGAGAGATTTGAATCTCTGCTCTGAGCTGGAGAGGATTATAGACTATTGTAGAGATTCTGGTGGCATATTGTTCTGAATCCAAAGAGGGTAGCCTACCTCTGTGGGTTGTTGTTTAATGTACTGCACAGGTGCAGGATTCTCTCTCATCCCTGGACAGGTGTGGGTGGGCTATCCTATACAGGGATGTCGAAGGAAAGGCTGAGGGGGCGGGGGGGGGAACCAGGTTTTGCTCAAGTCTCTCTGCCTGACCACCTGGAGGGAATTCTTACCCAAACAACGGGGCGGCTTGTCGATTTATAAGCCTGTTTTGAAAGCCTAGAAATAAACGCGGAAATTAAACGACAAAACCGAACAATCTCTAAAATATGAATAATGTCTAAAATTATGCTGCTCTTTTGGCAACTGCCGTTTTACATTACCGGGGGGGGATGACGTTTTCTTTTTAAAAGACGTGACTCAAATTTTGCGGGGCTAAGCCATAGATGGAAACCCACATGAAAACAGCATCGACAGGCTGACGTGCCAAAAGCGTATTTAGAAGAAGAAGAAGAGACTGGATTTATACCCCGCCCCTCACTACCCGAACGAGTTTCAGAGCGGCTTACGAACTCCTTTCCCTCCCCCTCCCCGCAACAGACACCCTGTGAGGTCGGTAGGGCTGAGAGAGCTCTGACAGAAACTTCCCTTTTTCAAGAACAGCTCTGACAGAACTATGGCTTGCCCAAGGTCATCCAGCAGGTGCAAGTGAAGGAGTGGGGAATCAAACCCGGTCCTCCCAAATTAGAGGCCGCACACTTAACCACTACTCCAAACTGGCTCTCAGAAGCGTGCTGTTATAAATCGTCCTATAAAAAGAGGCACGACAACCCATTCTTCCCCGGGAGAGTTACTTCAGAGTCCTGGGGGCCCTGCAAAAAAGACCCCGCGTTCCAGTGCCCCTGAATTTTCACAAGAACTTAAGGAAAGCCCTGCTGGTCCAACCAAGATTCCATCTACGATGGCTTCCTGCTACCCACTGATGCCAGCCCTGCTGCTCTACAGAAACACTGCTCCTGTGCATGGAAGCTCCATCTTGCTATCATAGCTAACGGCCCCCATCAGACCATAAGAACATAAGAACATCAGAGATGCCAATGTTGGATCAGGCCAAAGGCCCATCTAGTCCAACACTCTGTCACACGGTGGCCAAAAATACCAGATGCCATCAGGAGGTCCAGCAGTGGGGCCAGGACATTAGAAGCCCTCCCACTGTTGACCACTTCTCTTTCATGAACCAGTCCATGCCCATCAAAATATCTCGTGGCAGTCAGTTCCATAAGTTAGCGTGGCATTGCATGAAGGTGTATTTAGTCTGCTCCAAGTTGGGGAGGAGCTGTGGCTCAGTGGCAGAGCCTCTGTTCGGCATGCAGAAGGTCCCAGGTTCAAGCCTCACCATCTCTAGTTAAGGATCAGCTCGTAGGAGACTTGAAAGACCACTGCCTGAGACCCTGGATCAGAGCATCCTGCTTGGCATGCAGAAGGTCCCAGGTTCAAGCCCCACCATCTCTAGTTAAGGATCAGGTCTCAGGAGATGTGAAAGACCACTGCCTGAGACCCTGGAGCAGAGCATCCTGCTTGGCATATAGAAGGTCCCAGGTTCAAACTTTGCCATCTCTAGTTAAGGATCAGGTCATAGGAGACTTGAAAGACCACTGCCTGAGACCCTGTCCTAGCTTCAACCCCTGGCATCTGCAGTTAAAAAGGACCAGGCAGTAGGTGATGTGAGATACTGGAGAGCCAACGCCAGCCTGAGTAGGGTCTGTGGCTCAGTGGAAGAGCCTCTGCTTGGCATGCAGAAGGTCCCCATTCAATCCCTGGCATCAGTTGAAAGGGCCAGGCACAAGGTCAGGGGTGGCCAAACTGCGCCTCCGGAGCCACAGGCTCTTTCACACATATTGTGCGGCTCTCAGCCGGGCAGCTGGGGAAGCAAAGAGGAGGCAGGCTTTTCCTCTCTTCCTCCCATCTATTTGCTTTCTTTGTTTCTCTTTCTCTTCCTTTCTTTCCACCTCTTTCATTCTTTCTTTCTACCACTCTCTCTATTTCTCTCTCTCTTAGACAAATCTTAGCAAGCAAACAAATATCACTGGACAAATAAATATCATTATCAACATCTGCTTTCACCCCTTTTGTTTTTATTTTTGGCAGTCTCCGTTAATGTGCATAAAAGGCAAATCTGCATATTTTTTCAATAAAACCTTGTGTGGGGTACTTGTTCATGTCTTGCGGCTCTCAAACATCTGACGTTTATTCTATGTGGTGCTTATTTTTTTTTTAATTTATAATTTTTATTATTTTGTAAAACAACAACTGAAGTATTATACATACAGAAATAGCTGAGAAGGTCCCAACAAGGTATCAAAAAAAGACTTCCCTCCATGTAAAGTACAGCATTAAAACAGTTAAACACAACAAACTTTGAGAAGGCTTATTTTTGGGAAGAACCCCTCCTACAGTAAGATATTCAACAACTGGGAACCAGGTCGCTTGGAACTCTTTCTGGCCTTTTCCTGTATATGAAACAGTTTTACCCAGGGGTCATTTCCTGCAGGAGCGCACAGGAGCGGAGCTCCAGCAGTAAAGAGCCCAAGGGGCGGGCACATGCAACAAGCCCCACCCCCTGCTCCCAGCAGCCCTCAGTCAGAGCAAGAAGCAGCCAGGTAAGTTGCAGAGCACCCCCCAGGCCCAAAACAGTCCAGTGGCACCTTTA